TTACCCACAGCCCTGCACCTCCTACACCTTTCACAAGAGGGAAACACTGTAATCTCATTATTGGGGTAATTTAGAGGACAATGTCAGGACTCTGGGGAGAGAGTCAGTATCTGTGTGTGTGTGTGTGTGTGTGTGTGTGTGTGTGTGTGTGTGTGTGTGTGTGTACACATTTCATCATAGGAAACCAGTGTCTGCGAATAATTGCTACAATTTGATGTTGAATCTGTCCTTTTTAAACAGGTTTGCATTTTCCTCATCATTCAGACATTTGTGCTGTAGTTTAAAAGATAGCAAATTGAAAATATCGTAAACATTTTGGATAACTCGTATATTTGCCAACATTTATTTTACAAAATATACAGTATAAGGGAGAAAATAATATTTTATAGTTTTGAATATTTAACTTCTTAGTTTTGTCGCATTTCCTAAACAGGAACTGAGAAACTCCCTCTGAAGGGTACTCTGGGATTGAAGCCTTTGCAGACCATTTACATGCACAAAAAACCTATGTAACACTACATGCAAGGGAAAGCCTCAAAGAGAACAATAGGGCCTCTTTGATAAACAAACTGATAGTCTTTAGTACATATAACCATTAAAAGTTGAATTCCATTCCTCCACATAAAATGTTGTCTAATTTGTGTCCACTTTGTTCTCACAATTCAAAGCATTCTATTGGATAATCCATCAATTCTAGCCATTTAAAAAAGCTATTTAGACATTATCCATTAAGGAAGTGACTGTGAAGGAAGGAAGTCACATCTAGCTTTTCATTTAAACTTCGGCGACGGTGTAGAGACAGGAGATGGATGCTCCTGCCCAACCAACAGGAGCCACTTTAATTACAATCCTGATATTAACATCTAGAGGAAGGGGTGGGCACACAGAGGCCATCCACACACACACAGAAACAAGAGCTGTAAAACCACGACCCGAGCAGAAAAGTAGATTTAAAGAGAGCCAAGGGCAAGAGTCTGTATGTTTTAAGTATGTACGTGTGAGTGTGTAAGAGTGGGGGGG